TTTTTTTTGTGGTTTTTTGTTCTGTAAAGTGGCAAGTTTTCATGACCAATGCACGAGTAAAAAAAAAATAACCTGTCAATAGAAGACATCCTTCCGCATAAATTGTGTTGGTGGTAGAAATTTCAGACATACCAAATTTCGTACCTGTTACTAGGAAAAGATTTCCATCACCTTAATTTAAACCTGCTGTATGATGGCAGACAAAGTGGAGGGAAGCGATGTTGGCTATAACTACAGATACTTATATAAAAACAGATTTCAAACCAACGGTGAATTTGTGCGTAGGGTAAAACAAATAGTTCCCAAATAAAATTGGGATCTTTACGATATGCACAAAACATGGTTTCCCTCTTCACTTAACCACGAGTCTGTGATGGGTATTCGTTTTTTTTTATGATTACAATAAATATTTATATATTTTCTTTATTTCTCCATTGAACGGTTTGTGGCATTTTTATAGAATTTTCCTTTTTTTAATAGTTTTCATTCATTTTTACATTTATTCTAATCGTAGGTCTCATATTTTTGATTCTTGTAATCATTACCGTTAATTTTTATCTCACTGCAATCGTTATCCCCTTTCGGCAATTTCATTAAACACTTCATTGATTTCCGAAGCTGATTACGGATGCGAATAATTGCAGTTCGGTTGGTGGCATTCTTGTAGATAAATATACATATATGCACTTGAATATACTTATGTATGTATTTGCCCTTTTGTTAGGAATACAATTTTAATGCCCTAAAGTAGCCTTTTTCACAAAACATTTTCACTTTCTTACCTAAAACGAAAATTGGTCTTGAATGTAATTATTGTAATTAGTTTTTTGACATATTTAGAGTCGTTTTCTTTTACAGGACAATTCTAGCAAGAATAGTTAAAAGTCTTTTATCGTGAAGTTAAATTTGACAGGGAGTCGACAAAAAGGCCCTAAGGCGCGCTGTTTAATATGCTAAGCAACGTAATGAGCGCTTTTAGCTTTTACTGTGTCTCCACTTCAATAATATATAATATCGTCGCTCGAATAAAGAAACAGTGTAAATGCCACATACACTATTATTCGATAATTGCACCATTGGATAGACAATCCTTTAGTCTATTAGAAAAATCTTTAATTTTCTTAAATATCTCTTTGGCTCACTAATTTATTCCCGAAAAATGAAATTGTATTTGCATGGTTTGTAATGGTTTATAAAAACTTCCAATTCGTTTTTCTCAAAACTATACTTTTCATGTTACACTATTTCATTATTCCAGCGACGATATATTCTAATTTTAAGCCGCTCACCCCTGATCCGCTCGCCACTTTGCTGCTCATTGTGTGCCTCGGCCTAAGGCAAAGTGGTTTGAAACAACGGTACATTTTTGATATTAGTCACCAGTGTTCCGTTGTTGCCTCATTGTTGCCTCAGATTTCGAAAATTCCAGAAAAACATTCTGTTGTGCAATGATTTCACCACAAATTGGTAATGGGTCATATGAAAAAGAAGCTGAGCAATTGGTTTTTCTTAAAATTTTAGACCTTTTACTTAATTTTATTTGAATAAATCGAGTAAAAAATCTGAAATTTTAAGAAAAATCAATGCTTATTTTTTACGCGTACGGCCCAATATCATTGAATTCGCTTAATTTAAATACTTTTCCAACGTAACAACAGATTTATTAAATTATTCCTGGAAAATATAAACCAAATCATTTTGAAATAAAAACCAAAGCAAAATGTTGCAGTGAAAGGTAATAAAATATTGTACAGAGTTAAATACAATTACTTCCATATGTACATATGTACATACACAGTAATTTTATATTGAAGGTTTCAAAGTTGCGTATACGCCAAGGAGTATTTCATTTGAAATCAAAATTTGCACAAAAAACAAATCGAGGAAAATACGTACATATGTTTCCATATTAAATTATAAATATGTATTTATGACGGTTAAATAGAACATTTCACTCGAATTTCAGTTGAAATTTGAAATGTGCCACTTATATTACCGACGCCGCCTCTAACACTTGATAGCATACCTACCCATGAAAATACCCTTACTACGTTTCCATAGCCATAACTACAGCTCACAAATATACAAATGTACATGTACATACATATAACCAAAAAATATACTATATAACAGCGCATATTTAGTAGGTTTACATTGCATCTAAATACATACATTATCAAAACTACAAAATTTCAGCTCTTTCACCAAACTATCAAGCTGCCCATAATTAGTTCAAAACCAAAAGAGAAGCATACTCGCATACATATCCACATAGCCATCGACTATTTAACGAACTAGCTCAATCAAGTTAGCGGCGCTAAAATGAAAAAATGAAGAAAAAATTTGTTCGTATTATTGTGCTCATTGTGTGCTATTTTCGGCAGGTTTTCGTTTTTTTTGTGCTCCGACCATTTGGTAAATAATTAAGACTTTGCTAAGTTAACCGTAACTTAGCAAAACATTCATTCAATGAAGTATTTTTACTACTTTTCTGGGCTTATTTTTTTGTGCTTTTTATGGGCTTTAAAAATATTTCCCGGTTAACATTGAAAAACCGTTTGACGCCACGCTAGCTAACCCACTTCTTAAACTTTGGTCGAACACGGATAAATAGTATTGAGGAATTACGTGCTATTTTTGGGCTTTTTAGAGTCACCTAAATAATTATAGGAGCTCATCCAGTTTCCGAGATAATTAAGACTTTG